ACCTATGTCCTGCATTCTTACTCATGTTTACACCTAATACCTATTGTCTCGTAAGCGATGTGACAAATCAAAATAAATCAAAATAAATATCCTCTGCTAATTCTTCCTTTCTGCGGGGGGTGGACAGCAGGCTTCGGATCTTGACCCAATAGAGGAGGAGGAGGAGGAGGAGGAGCGGAAGGGGGATACCCAAGGATGGGCCGGACGGAAGAGAGGAGCAGAGGGAGGAGGAGGAGGAGGAGGCCTGCCTCCCTCCCTTCCACCCCACACTTGTGGGGCGGGGGGAGGCGTGTTCATTGCGTGGCACATCAGCCCCCGGCTGGCAAGGAGGGGCTTCCTGAGCAAAGCCTTCAGCCTTCCCCCCCCCTCCCAATAGCTGGCTACCCAAAGTGGGGTCCCTTTCTTGACGTCTCCCCATGATGTCCCCTTCGCGCCTGCTGCTCCTTCTGCTTTTCCTAACAGCCCTGGAGGGTGGGAGCCACTCAGCAGAAGACGGTAAGCTAAGGAATGTGTGTGTGTGTGTTGTGTTTGTGCACACCCAAGTTTCTTGCAGTGCGCTCTCTGCAGCCATCCCTATCCCTGGCAGAGAGGGATGGTTGAAAAGTTTAGGGAAAACTTTTGTAAGTTTTCTTTCTCCAAAAACTTCCAAGGGGCCTTTTTTTTTCCTCTGGGGAAGGGGAAAGGATGAGAAACAGTACGCCTTACTCAATTTATTTTATTTGTTTGTCAAACACGTACAAGGTAACAGGTATAGGTATGAACATAAACGTGAAGAAAGGAAGTAAATACAGATATAAGACAGGGACGGTGGGCACGCTGGTGCCCTTATGCGCGCCCAATTTTATACTTGTCCAATTTTATACTTGCCCAATTTCACTTAGGCTGGTCTCTGATCGTCAGAAATATTTTATTTGCACACTTGGCACAACACCATCGTATGCGTTTTCTTTTTAAAAAATCTCCCTTTTTGCATTTTTTTCCCCTTTTCTCTCTCTCAAAAAAAGGTGTTTTTTTTTTTTTTTTACTATCCTAAGTTGCACATTCTTGCTTGGTTTGGCAGATGGGGCATCTGTCTTTAAGTCTGTGGCAGCAAGAAATCAGGAGGAGATTCTTTTCAGACAAACAGATTTTATTCCAACGTGTCAGCTTCCGCGAGGTCCAGATCACTCCTCCGATGTTTGGGCTCAAATCTGTGCTGCTAAATTGCGGCGAATGGCAAATTAAATCGCCTCGATCCTCAAAGCGTGGGAGGGAATCTTCTGCAAGCAGCAAGGGATCTTCTCTGGATATAAATCAGGATATAATCTTTCCCTTCTCCACCAGGGCTAAAAATTGCCCTTCCGGCATGCTTTTGATGTGGGGTCTGCAGGAAGCTTCCGGGGTGTGTGTGTGTGTGTATGTGTTTCACACAGGCCTGAATGCATCTGAGCTAGCTTTCATAAATGAAGGCTGCCTCCCATATTTTCAAAAGGTTTTCGGCATGCCGTTTTGCCCACCAATGCCAGCAGAAACCTGAGAGGGGTTATCGTTATAAATTACATTTCAGCTGCTTTGCTTTTCCTTGCAGGTCAACTCCAGGCCCGTTTTGTGACGTGCGAACAGGCTGGGAGAAAAAGATTCAGGAGAAACCCATTTCTGACTCATTAAAACTCACGTCCCACACGTCTTGGAAAAAAATCAATATTTAGCGCGGGGGGTGGAAATATTGTTTGAAGGCTGAGCTATTTGTTCATTTTAAAAAGACTGTCTTTCCCGCTTCACAAATAGGAGGCTTTTAAAGAAATGGGGAAAGCCTACGAAATAAATCTGAGAATCTTTCCATATTCACAGCCTGGATTTTTACAACTGAGTTGTGCCTCTTGAGAATGCAATATTTTTTTTGTTTTTGTTTTTAAAAGTCGCAGCAATGGGGGAATGCAGGAATTTGTACCAATTGCTGATAATTTAGGAAAATTATCTTGATTCTTTTTTTCTGTCCATCTAGACAATTTATTGGTCTTCACTGTGGCTACCAAGGAGACTGAAGGCTTCAAGCGGTTCAGACGTTCAGCCCAGGTTTTTAACTACAATCTCAAGGTAGTGCAAATAACTAATTTGAACATAGATTCCTGGTTGTTTCGAGACAAAATCCAATTCCTAATTCAAAACTCCCTGCATTTGTTCAAATTTTAAAACTCGCCCTTGAAAAAGTATGGGAGAAAATTATACTGCATAATTTCTTAATCTCTCTTTCTCTCTCTCTATATATATAAACGAAATACCACTCACGCATCATCACAAAATCTCCAGAACCGTAAAGCCTACAAACTTGAAATTTGGTAGCTATCTTCCTCTTGGCTTCTAGGTGGTCACTAAGAAAAGATTTTTTGAAATGACTATCAGAGCATTAGTATTTCCTATATTATTATTATTAATGTGCTCTACTCCCCCTCCCCACCTGAAAAGAAATCTCTTCCAAATGCAAAACACAAGCAGAGGAGTTTCAGTTTCAGAGCACCAAGCAGCGGTAGTACAGAACGGTTGAGCTAAGCCACGCCCAGGCTCCTTGCTGTCTCCTTGCTCACACAGCAAATACTCTTTCACTTTCCAAACAGCCCTCAACTCTCTCACACACTGACAGGATGCTAGCCAGATGAATACTGATAGATGCTGGTAGGTAGAGGCACAATTTTTCCCCCTTATTTTCCTCCCCCAAAACTAAGCCCAGCCACATAGTTTCGTAGCAAAGCACGGGTATCCAGCTAGTTTCAATTAATGAGTTTGTAATAATGTTAGCTGTTTCTACAGCTGTTAGTTGCTAGTTATTTTTCTTTATTGAACTCCCAAAGCACAAACTTATTAATCGGGTAATATAATAATTTGGGAATCTTATCGTTCAGATTGTAAATGTCTGCAAAAAAAAAAAATTCATCCAGCACAGCGAAAGTCATTTGCTAAATAAGATATTGTTAGTTGTTCCCTTCAGTTCAGTTTAGAGGGAACGAAGCACGAACAAAGTGGTTTGAAACTTGTCCCAAAATCTCCTTTGATCCGTCCAGGTCCTGGGACTCGGCGAAGAATGGCATGGCCGAGAGGACCAGAGAATAGCAGGTGGACAGAAGATCCGACATTTGAAATCGGCTTTGGAAGCCTATGCGGACAAAGAAGATTTAGTGATCCTTTTCACCGATAGGTAATTCCTGCTTGAGCTGGGACCGTGGTCGCCAACCAGTGGGCTGGGGCCACTGGTGGTCCATGAGAAAATTTTGGTGGACCGCAGAGAAATGTCCCCACCAAAGCAATTCATCCAGGCTGTGTGGGAACACAAGGCTGCACCGCCCACATGGCCCGCGGGAACACAAGGCTTGCGTCGCTTGCATTGCAAACAACACGAGGTAGTGAGGGGAGGGGGGAAAGGGGGAGGGGGGAACTTGCCCCACTCACCTCACACACCTGGCCTGGCCACCGGGCTGCTTCTTTCCACTTCTTTCTTCTGCTTTTGGCTGCATGCAAGGAAAGCAGCCAAAGTCTTTCTTTCTCTCCCCGCAACTCTGCCAGAAATGAGTCTTTGGGACCCTGCAAGGCCTCCTGCTCCAAGAGGCTGCGCCAGCATGACAAGTCTCACAAAGACTCATTTATGGGGGAGTTTGGGGGAGAGAAAGAAAGACTTCTGCTGCTTTCCTTGCATGAAGCCAAAAGTCTCTCTCTCTCTCTCTCTCTCTCCCCCTGAAAATGGAGCTGGAGATGGTATCCTGTGGTCCCAAATAAAGAATGATTGACTGGTAGGAAAATGAGGTGGAGAATTTTCCTGCAGACTGTTTTAGGGATTTTCCCAGGGTCTCTGATCCGCGGGATTTAAAATGATGAGTTTGGTGGTCCCTGAGGTCCAAAAGGTTGGCAACCCCTGAGCTGGAAGATTCTCTGTGCCTCCTGTAACCAGGAGGATCTGGATATGGATAGTCCTCTACTTAGGACCCCAACTGAGCCCCAAAATATCTGTTTGTTAAGGGAGACATTTGTTAAAGTGAGGTTTGGCCCATTTTACGACCTTTCCCGCCACCGTTGTTAAGCGAATCACCACAGTTGATAAGTTAGGGACGCAGCTGTTAAATGAATCTGGCTTCCCCATGGAGTTTGCTCATTGGAAGGTCACAAAAAGGGAATCACATGACCTTGGGACACAGTCATAAGTCTGAACCAGTGGCCAAGCATCTGAATTTGAATCATGGGGATGCTATGAAGGTCCTAAGTATGAAACATGGTCATAAGTCGCTTTTTTCAGTGCCATCGTAACCTTGAACGATCGCTAAACAAATGGTTGTTAAGTTGAGGAAAACCTGTATTTTGGTTGCTGCTTAACTATGGTTTGTTGTGCTAATTGCATTGCAAACTGTGGACAATTAAAGTTCATTTAAATGAGAGTGGGGCAGCTGACAACATCAGAATCTCCATCTTGGAGAGAAAAAAACAACACTTGGAATGCCAAAAATAAAGTTCTTCAAATTGAGAGGTTTCATTTGCTCCGACTCAGGCAATTTTTTTGATTATTCCCTGTTTTTTTCTTTGCGGGATAAACTTCCTGTCATGCCCCTGTCGGAATCTGATTCAGAGGGGGAGGCCAAGCAGCTGACAAGGAGTGGGAGTGTGGCTCAGTTGGCTGGGGAAGAAACTGGGGAAGGGCAAAGTCAGGCTGGGCAGAGCAGGAGAGAGATAGAAGAAGGGAGAGGGAGCACCCCCTCTTCATCCTGCATGCAGGGAGGAATGGAGAAGGGAGCAACGTGAATTGCATGGCTTACGGGGGAGGAAAGGGCCCTGATTCCCTTCATTAGCTGCAGCTGGGAACACGGTGTTTAAAAAGGGAAGCTGCACACAGCAACGTTGGAATCAAATCATGAATTTATCTGGTATCATCGAGGCTTATCTGGGTTCCTGGCATCTTCCCAACTGTGTGTGTGTGTTTTGCTGGTCTTTCAAGTCTGCAATTCCTTCTGTCCTGCCCTGTCAAGTTAATTACTGCAGCCTGGTTTGTGTGGATTTTTAGTTACAGTTTGTATGTACTTTGTTTTCGGACTGAATTTCCTCCACTTAAAGACTGTTCCTGGGAGAGTTTTTCTCCAGCTGAAGGTAACCTGGACATGGGGGGGGGGGCAAAGTTGGGGGTAATAAAGGGACTCTTCTTGCTTAACTGTGTTGCCTTTGTGCCGCGCCCCTTTGGGTCATCACATTTCCCTTCGAATATCTCTCCTCCTCCTCCTCTTGCAGCTACGACGTCATCTTTGCTTCAGGGCCTGCGGAAGTCCTGAAGAAGTTTAAGCAGGCCAAGTCAAAAGTCGTCTTCTCCTCAGAGGCGCTCATCTATCCAGACCGGAGGCTGGAGGCCAAGTACCCAGCGGTCCAGGAAGGGCAGAGATTCCTGGGATCTGGAGGTAAGGAAAAGGGGGAAGATGGAAGCCCTCAGGAGCAAAGAGAAAAAAAATACAAGTTTTTTTTGGATGTCAGCACCAATCCATGGGCCAAGGTGCCCATTTGACCTGAAGAAAGAGAGAGGGGAGCATTTTCAGGCAAACCTCAGCTTAACAACAGCACTGAAAGGGTGACTTACGACCGTTGTGACTTACGACTGTTGCAGCGTCCCTGTGGCCACAGGATCAAAATTCAAACGCTTAATAGCAACTCGTTGATATTTATGACCGTTGCAGGGTCTCGGGGTTTACGGGATCGGCCTTCTGACCAGCAAAGTCGATGGGGAAGCCGCTGTTCAGACCCAGGTCCCCAAATTCGACAAACCCTCTGAAGTTAAACTGGTGCTTCTTTTACGAGGAGGGCCAGAGCCTCGGCCAAAAGTCTTTTTCTCTCACGCGGGCGAACAAGCCGTTTCGTCCGGCAGGGAGATGAATAGTTGTCTGCCACACCCAGCCTTTTATCCTCAGAGCTAGCGTGGGGCTTTGCTAGTAGTGATGGCTCTTCCGTCCCAAGGACCGGCCCATAGATTTCCACTGCTCTCCTCTCCTCTGCCTTCTGCACATCTGTGCATCAGGCACTGGACTCAGCTGTTCCTCCTCTTCCTCATCAGCCACCTCCAGACCTGGGGGCTGTTGACTCTCCATCTGAGGGCTGACAGACGGCCCAGGCTCTGCCCCCCTCTCTCTCTCTCTCTCTCTCTCTCTCTTTCTCTTTGCCAGCTCCATTCCCTCTTTCTCCTCGGAGCTCTCAGGTTGCCCTGATGCTGGCCCTGACTCCCATGCCCCCTCCTCCTCCTCCTCCTCCTCCTCCTCCTCTAATTCGGCTGTTGGAGGGGCTGGCGGCCTAACTGAACAACTGCAGCGATTCATTTAACAACCGTCCCACATAGCGATGGAAATTGTGGCCGTGAGTCAAAACTGCCTGTATTGTCTCCTCCTGCAGGATTCATAGGCTACGCTCCGTATCTCAGTCAGCTGGTGGCCGACTGGCAAGGCCTGGACAGTGACAGCGACCAGCTGTTTTATACCAACGTGTTCCTGGACCCTGAAAAGCGGGTGAGCCCTGAACGCAGACCCCCATGTGTTCTGGGGGGGAGGTCGGGGGGATATTGATAGCTGACCCAAGAAAGGCAGATGTGCAAAGTCTGGTAGGCCCATGTGGTATAAATCAGACCAGGACAGACTTTGGCCTAGTTTCCTAGTTGACTTTTCTGCAGCCAAAGGCTGTTCCTGGGAGAGATTTTCTCCGGCTGAAGGTAACCTGGACATTGGGGGCAAAGTTGGAGCTAATAAAGGGACTCTTATTGCTTATTTGACTGTGTAGCCTTCGTGCCACGCCCCTTTGGGTCATCACGGGTTCTGCCTTTTCATAAAAGGTGCGAGTCAGAGACGGTGCAACATGGCCATCTTATATGTACCTCTTCCAGCTCTTATCACGCTTGCTGGTTTTATTTTTCCTTTTTCTTCTTCTTCTTCCTCCTCTGCAGAAGGCCATCAATATCACTTTGGATCACAGGTGCCGGATCTTCCAAAACCTTAACGGTGCTTTAGGTGAGAATCCATGGAAAGAAAATCCCGCATCCAAAATAAAACGTTGGCTGTCTTTAAGGGTGGTTATCCTCCTCTTGCTGGAGAGCTATAAACCAGCTGCTCAGGGCGCCTCTGGGTAGGTCCCCAAGGCCGTTGACCTCTGCCACAATCACTTCTGTGGTTTGCCAAGCAACTCTGGTTGGAGTCAAACTAAACAACTTCCGTGTAAAAACAGAGCTCAGGCAGCCGGTGGCCCCAAAACACAGCAGCTGCAACCTTGTTTTACAATTGAGTTTGCTTTATTGTCATTGCACATCGTAACAACAAAATTACATACCAGTGTACTATCGAATTCAACAGAGCTCTTGCCCTGGGATAGAAGCTGTTTTTCAGCCTATTTGTCCTTGTTTTTATTATTCTGTACCGTCTGCCAGATGATAATAGTTCAAAAAAAAAAAAGTGTGTGTGTGTGTGCCCAGGATGAGATATGGATGTTTGAGAATGTTTTGAACTTCCTTAAGGCAGCGGGAGCTCTAAGGCTCTTCCAAAGAGGGGAGAGGGCAACCCAATATCCTCTGGGCCATGACGTTCGCCCTCCTATTTGCCACTGTGCAATTGGCAAACCATACACAGGTGTGCAGTCAGTTAAGATACCCTCTACAGCGCAGCAGTAGAAAACTACCAGCAGTTTTTCATTCAGTTAATGGAAGATTTGGCATGACACTCTCTCGCTTCCTTAGTCTCGCCTCCCCTTCCTGTCGGTTTATTTTATTAAGATTTAATTAAGGGCTTTAAGAGACTTTTTTAAAAAAGATAAAACTGGGGGGGGGGGGTTTGCTCCTAAAATATACTTCTATTGCAGGGGGTGTCAAACTCAATTTCATTGAGGCTGTGGTTTGTCAACCTCATAAAACATTCCTATGCCTGTTTTAGTAGTTGCCATTTAAAAAAAGGGGTGGGAGAGACGAAGGAAATCTGGAAAAGCAGTGCAGCAGTTTGGAAGCAGACGTACATTCCAACTCTTCTCTTTAAAAGATTGTAACTAAACTACCAGAGCTTTTGCCCACGAATAGGTTTAATTGGAGAAGACACCCAGCCTGTGAAGGTGCTCAATTGGAGAATCTGGTTTATGAGACACCCAGGGTGGAGAGGGGGAAACAGGGTCACAGAGGACTGTAAATGACCTAGGCCAGAGTTGGCTTCATGCAGGGCAGGGCCAGTATGTCGCCTCTAATGGATCCTTTGAAAGTTTTTTGAAGTTTGGCTCGAGAATCATGATTCAATTAGAGCGGTTGCTGGAATCCTGACATGGTTGACCTCGGGGGTAGTGGGTGGGTGTAGCCAGCTTGGTGGGCATGGGCAGCTTCACGCCACTCCCCAAACTGCTGGCATGTTTCCTCTTTCCATTGGGTAGACCGGACCGAAGCCATGCTGGCCCGATGTTTCCTCTTCGCAAAATGGGCCGAAGCAACGCGGGTAGATTCGAGTAGACCAGGACGGACCCATGAGCCAGATCTGACCACATCACAGGCCGGATCTGACCTGCAGGCCCTGAGTTTGACACCCCTGTTCTATTATATTGAGTGGGAAAGGCTATATCTTGGCTTGGTGTGGAAGTTTTCTAAGGATACGGCTACTTTGAAAAGCTTGGATGGCCTCCATCCCGCTTAGCGGAGACTCCTGGCCTGAGATTTCACCAAGCGCATACTTTACTAGAGCAACAAATGGTTAGCGACAAAGGGAAGCAGAGTCTGGCGAATTGGCATGAAAACTTTACCCTTAACTATTCCTTTTCCCCTGGCCACCCCCACTTAATTATCGATCAGTATCTCATTAGCAATGCTTATTTTGTTTTGGGAACGGAGATTCGGTGTGTCTTCTCCATCTCTGCATTTGTCATCCCCAGTCGGAGTCTGAATCTGAGGAGGAAAACGAACACCTGACAGGGAGTGGGAGTGTGGCTCCATTGGCTGTGGAGGAAACTGGACAAGGGCAAAGGCCAGCTGGGCAGAGCAGGGAAGAGGTAGAACAAGGGAGAGGGGGTTCAGAGGAAGACCCAGGCCCACCCCCTCTTCATCCTAGGGCACGCAGGGAGGAACGGAGAAGGGAGCAACTTGGGTTGCATGGCTTACAGGGGAGGAAAGGGCCCTGATTCCCTTCATTAGGCACACCTGGGAATGAGAGTTTAAAAGAGATGCATGTTGAGTGCGGCAGCTGCTGGCAAACGTGACTTTATCTTGTGATGACTTTGCTTATCTGTGTTCCTGGTGTCTTCCCAACTGTGTTGAGTTATTGCCATGCCTTCACGTCTGGAATTCTTGCTCCTACCCTGCCAAACTAATTACCTCAGTTTGGCTTGATTGGACTTAAAATTACAGTTTTGGTTGACCATGTTTTGGGCTTCATTCTCTGCAGCCAAAGGCTGCAGAGTTTATCTCTAGCCCAGAAGGTAACCAGGACATTGGGGGCAAAGTTGGTGCTATTAAAGGGACTCTTATTGCTTATCTGACTGGGCTGCCTTTGTGCCAGGCCCCTTTGGGTCATCACAGCATTCTTTCCACGGCCTGGAGCTCTCCTTTCTTGCCCAGCACAGCTTGGATCCCGGACCGTCCCCCCTTTCATCCTCCCGCATTCCTATTCTTCCTCCCTCCCCCTTCGGTGCCAGTGTCAGGCTGGCAAGTTGCAAAGCGAAGCGAAGCAAGCAGAGTGGCAGACGTAACAAGCTGGTCAAACTTGATTAATTTCCCCAAACCATTCTCTCCCCTGGCGTACATGTGAAAGAACCTTATTGTTGTTTCATCCCGTTTCTCTGCTTCTTTGCTTCCGAAGACGAAGTGGCTCTGAAATTCGAAAACAGCCAGGTGAGAGTGCGGAATCTGGCGTTTGACACCCTCCCGGTTGTGGTTCACGGAAACGGACCCACCAAGGTAGGCCAAATCCCGGCTGCTCCCTGGAACTAGGAGGACCTCAGGGCCCACCAAGCTCATAATTTTAAATCCTGCGGACCACTGGTATGAATTTTGACTGACGGGGGCTTGCTGACGTTGGTGGGAAAGTCGGTCCCATATTCCAGAGCCGCAGGAGTCACAGGACTGGCCCTTTGGACATCCCGGAGCAGCTGCTCCTCCACCCGGGTGCACCGGCCGGCCACGGACTGGAGCAGCTGCTCTGGAATGACCAAAGGGTTAATTCAAGCATTCCTGTGACTCCTGCGGCTCTGGAATATGGGACCGACTTTCCCACCAACGTCAGCAAGCCACCCAGGGCGGATTTCCCTCCTCTGGGGTTGGTCTTACCTTCCAGTTCCAGCTCGCGTGGCTCTACTCAAGGTAAGGTTTGCGCTCGGCCGAAGGGTAGGGGCCAGCGGGTGGGCGGGCCATGTGGGCGGTGCAGCCTTGTGTTCCTGCATTAATTGCCTGGATTAATTGCCTTGGGGGGGACATTTCTCTGCGAACCACCGGTTGGCGGCCCCTGGTCTAGGATGTATATACAGGTAGTTCTCTACTTACAACAGTTCATTTAGTGACCTTTCAAAGTTACAACGGCTCTGGGGAAAAAAAGGGGGACTTAAGACCCTTTTCTCACGGCTCCAACCGCCGTAGCATCACCACCGTGATCAAAATTCAGACGCTTGGCCACTGACTCGTATTTATGATGGTCGTAGCGTCCCGGGGTCCCCGTTTGCAACCTTCTGACCATGGGGAAGCTAGATTCACTTAACAACCATGTGAGTAATCTTAACAGCTGAACCACTGTGGCAAGAAAGGCCATAAACCGGGACACGAGACCCACTTACGTCTCACTTAGCAACATAGGGCTGATTTGTGGCTGTAAGTTGAGGATGACCTGTTCCCCTGGTCTTTCTTGCCCCGGATCAAAGCTTGGTCGGGCTTTGGTTGTCCACCTGCCAGGGCTGGAAATTGTTAAGGAGATTCAGGATCGACCTCGGTGGCAAAACAGCTGCTTAGCTGAAGGAGGGAAGGCAGCCAGCCAGCTTCACTTCAGCAACTCCACAGCAACAGGGACCCAGGTGGTGTGGAAAACAATATTATGGTGTCCCAAAGGTGCTTTTTTTCCCCCAAGAGGTGACTGAACTTCCTTGGTTTTTTTTTCTTTTGAAGACGTTTCACTTCTCATCCCAGAAGCTTCTTCAGCTCAGACAGAATAGTGGGGAAGGGAAGGATTTATATTCCTTGCAGACAGCTGGTCATTGGCATCCTTTTAGAGCAGGGGTGTCAAACTCACGGTGTCAGGTGTGGCTCCATTCAAAATTCAAGAAAGGAAGCCTTAGAGCAGGGGTGTCCAACCTTGGCAACTTTAAGACTTGTGGACTTCAACTCCCAGAATTGCTCAGCCAGCAAAGCTGGCTGAGGAATTCTGGGAGTTGAAGTCCACAAGTCTTAAAATTGCCAAGGTTGGACACCCCTGCCTTAGAGAAAAGGACTTTTACTGAATGTGAAGTGGTAGCAACAGGTGAAGTGAATTTTAATGTAGAGAAAAGTAAAGGCCTACACTTAGGCAAAAAAAAACCCCACATATAGACTGGGTGAAACCAAGCAGTAACTGTGAGAGGGATCTCGGAGTCTTAGTGGACAGCCAGCTAAATAGGAGCCAGCCATGTGCAGCAGCCGCCAAAAAAGCCAATGCAATCCTAAATTGCATTAAGAGAGGGATACAATCGAGATCAAGGGAGGTACTAATACTACGCTTTATAAAGCCTTAGTAAGGCCACACCTAGAGTCCTGCATCCAGTTTTGGTCACCACACTATAAAAAAGATGTTGAGACTCTAGAAAAAGTGCAGAGAAGAGCAACCAGGATGATTAGGGGACTGGAGGCCAAAACATATCACAAACAGTTTCAGGAACTGGGCCTGGCTAGTCTAGGGAAGAGAAGGACCAGGGGAGACGTGATAGTGGTCTTCCAATATTTGAGGGGCTGCCCCAGAGAGGAGGAGGAAGGGGTCAAGCTGTTTTCCAAAGCTCCTGTAGGCCAGACAAGGAACAATGGATGGAAACTGAACAAGGAGAAATTTAACCTGGAAATAAGGAGAAACTTTCTGACAGGGAGACCAACCCACCCATGGAACAGAAGTTGCCTTCAGAAGTTGTGGGAGCTTCATCCCTGGAGGCTTTCAAGAAGAGATTGGATTGCCCTCTGTCAGAAATGGTGTAGGGTCTCCCGCTTGGGCAGGGGGGTTGGACTAGATGACCTATAAGTTCCCTTCCAACTCTGATTATCTGTTATCTGTTACGAAATACAAGATCTGAGGCAAAAGGTATGGAAATCACATATAGAAAGTTACCCCGTGTCCCCACCCCCAACAATTCAAAGTGGACATCCCATCCGAGGTGTGTGCATAATGTCAGGTGGGTTACATCTTCAGGTGGCGTCTCAGACATCAGGTATGCCAAGACGGTTGACCTTGGCCCAGAAAAGATAAAAGGGGCTGCATCTGTGCAGTAAGCAAGCAAGTTTTACAATTCACACAGCTTCAACCTCCAGCACCCTTCCCTCCACTGGGCCCAATTATTCCACCCCACCACCGTTTCTTTGGCAGCTGGAAAGAGTCAAGTGGAAGAAGGAATCTTGGAGACCGACACCTGGCTTGTCGGCAGATGCGTCACGTGCTCCCCCCCTCAGTTTAGCAAAGGGGGGGGGGAAGTCCTGATACGTCAGGTCCCACCGTGATGACATGAGTTTGACACCCCTGTTTTAGGGGGTCGTGGAGGCCACTTGGAGGTTTATCTGTGTCCTCAGGGTCACTTGAGTAGTGTCAGTGGTTCCTGTAGTCTGCAATTTCTTTCCTCTGGAAATCCCTTCCTTCTTCCGCACCATTCCAAGGGTGTCCATCCCAAATTGTATAGCAAAAAGTCTGCAGAGATTATCAGTCATCCAAGTTATGGTTGTCCCAAAGGAGCTTTTTTCCCCCCAAGAGGCACTTGGACTTTTTTTTCCTGGTTTTTCCTTGAAGGCGTTTTGCTTTTCAGCAGAGAAGCTTCTTCAGCTCTGACTGGATGATGAGGAATAGAAGGATTGATACTCCTTGCAGACAGCTGGTCATTTGCATCCTTTTTAGAGGGTCGCTGAGGCCACTTGGAGGTTTATCTGTATCTTCAGGGTCACCCGAGTGGTGCAAATGGTTCCTGTAGTTTGCAATTGTTTTCCTCCGGAAATCCTTTCTTACTCCCACATCATTCAGCGATACAATCATTCATTGTATAGCTAAAAATCTGTAGAGATTCTCGGTCATCCAGGTCATGGTCATCCCAAAGGTGCTTTTTTTTTCAAGAGGCAACTGGGCTTTCTTATGGTTTTCTTTTTTCCTTTTGAAGAGGTTTCGCTTCTCATCCGAGAAGCTTCTTCGGCTCTGGATGACTGAGAATCTCCGCAGGCCATATTATGGTGTAGTCAGATTGACCAAGGTTGCAAGTTTTCTGTCTCATCACTGTGAGCACACCTGTGAGACTTTTTCTCTCCCAAAGCTGCAGCTGAATTACCTGGGGAACTACGTCCCTCAGTCCTGGACCTTCGAGACGGGCTGCACCGTTTGCAAAGAAGGCCTGAAGAATCTAAGCGGCTTGAAAGTAAGAGGCTGCGCAAGGCTGGGCAGGAATGGGGAAGGTTTCAAAAAACTGGTTTCTTTCTTTCTTTCTTTCTTTCTTTCTTTCTTTCTTTCTTTCTTTCTTTCTTTCTTTCCTTCCTTCCTTCCTTCCTTCCTTCCTTCCTTCCTTCCTTCCT